GATTTACCAGACAAAAAGTAAATGGTGCATCTCCCAAATGTCCCGGCAGCAACAACTCTTTATTGGTTCCGCTATCGGGACGGAACCAATAACGGCGAGCTATCTTTTTTTTTATAATAAAAAAAAACAATTTCAATTTTAACGTTTTATTTAGATTACAAAAATAAATCGTAATAAAAATAATCCTATTTACGATGTTTTAAAATTAAGACCTACGAAAGACTGATTGAAGACATTTTAATACCAATTAAGGCCTGAGTTTTATTTTGAAGAATTCAATGCCTTTTAAGACTTTTTAAGGACCAGCGGGAACCCTGGTCCAACTAGGCCACCGTAGGAAATTGTCCTGTTACTTCTCAGCTGCAGAGAAAAATGTTTTCATCAAGTTCTGGTTTGTTTAAAATGCTCCAGGGGACATTTTGGTTGTTTTAGGTCAGAAGAATCAAACCAGTAAAAAAAATGGTGCTAAATAGCATTAGCACCTCTATGGGATTTCCAATCCAGCACTGATTAGCATTATGCTAACCAGTAGTTGTGTCTTTTCAGTTCCACTTCAGTGATTTAATAAGCAAATAGTTTCTTCTAGATTAGGGGATAGGCTCAGTTTTGGATGCTTTTAAAAGGGAGTTTTTCCTCTCCACTGTCGCTACAAGCATGCTTAGTGTGAGGGATTGCTGAAGAGTCAACGCGATCTACTGGTTTTCCTTAGAAAACTTTGAATCAATCTGACTGGATGATCTGGTGAACTGGAAAGTGACCTGAGATGACGTGTTGTGAATTGGCGCTATAGAAATAAACTAAATAGAAATGACATCATCAGGAGGTTATTTTGGTGCCTGGACTGTTTCTAAAACATAAAAATAAAATCCTTAAAGTGAATTTTGTATCATAGTTCCCCTTTGAACCGTCTAATGATTCAGATGTCGGACCAGAACCGATGTCACAATCATCCATGATGCGAACACCATGACCCACCAGGCACTTCTTGGAGCTCCTGTAACTCGGACTGTGCAGACTTCTGGGACTCCCGACCAGACCGCCTTTAGTTGGAGTGGTGATGTGCTGAGGGGAGGAGAGGAAGGGTTAGGGTTAACCTCTCCACACAGGCAGACCGGAGGGCGTGCTAGCTGCTGCCATACCTTCGGCTGAGGGATGCTGCCGACCTTTGACCTTCTGGGAGAGCTGGTTCTAAGAGCCGGGCTGCGGCGATCGATATCATCAGCCGTCTCCTGCTGTTGGATGGGGTTAGCGAAGGACACGCGGCGGAACTGCGGGGGTGAGAAGAAGCAAACTGTTAGACACATTTTAAACGTTTGGGTCTGACTTTATATGTGGGGCCGTTTGGGCTGCAGACCTTAACGACGGGAGACGACATCTCCACCTCCAGGGGCCTCTTCTGGCCCGTCTTCAGGATGCTGGTGGAGGGGGAGGCTGAAGGCGACCATGTTCCCCTCATCCAGCCATTTCTGGGGCTCTGTCCCGCTTCTGGTTCTGATGCGGCCTCCAGGTCCTTCTGTTTGAGCGGAGAGTCCTGATGAGGCGCCTGGGAGATCGCCGCAGCGCCGCCTGGCGGCTCAGCTTCCAGGTCCTGTCTGCGTTTGTCCGTGGTCGTCTCCGTTTGAACGTCTTTATTGTCCTCTTCTGGGACACCATCAGCGGACGGTTCTTTTTCTGGGATCTTTAGAGACTCCTGGTCCTGCTGAAGCCCCGCCTCCTCCTGACGATTCTCCTGCTGAAGCCCCGCCTCCATCTGACGATTCTCCTGCTGAAGCCCCGCCTCCATCTGAAGTTTGTCCCCCTGAAGCTTCTCTTGCTGAAGCTCCTCCCCCTCCTGAGACTCCTCCCCTGGAGGAGAGGACGGTTGCTGCTGGTCTGAATCTGATTCCACACGCTTCGCCTTCAGTTCCTCCTCAGATGTTTCAGCTTTTTCCTCGGGGGTCTCCATCACCTGTGGCTCCTCCCCCTGTATGGCAGCACTTCCTGGCTCAGCAGATTCAGCCGCTCCTACTTCTTGGAAAGACTCCTTTCCTGCATCTGAATCTCTCTGCTCAGTGGAGCTCAGCGACTGGCTACCCTTGTGAGTGTCTTCAGTTCCAGTCTTCTCTTCAGCTGGTGGAGGCGGAGCCTCCTCGGACTCAGAATCCAACTTCTTTGCCTCAGCATCGTTGGTTTCTGCCACCAGCTCAGATTCCTTTAGATCTTGCGTCTCTGATGATTCTTGTAAGCTATTCTTTGTCCCAAAGTGTTGAGAATCTGCTTGCTGGCTGTCCGCTCCGTGCTCCTTTGAATCCAGCGTCAGAGGACTCTGCAGAGAGGCTTTGGGCTTCCTCCCCCTTTTCTTGCGAACAGAGACCTCTGGAGTAAAGGAGCACTCGGACTCTGACGACTCCACACTGGCTGCCTGCAACTGAGAGGATCTCCCTCTTGGATATCTGCCCCTGCCTCGAGACGACCCTGACCCAGACGCTTCCAACGACTGGGAGCCTTCTGGGGTCGAGCTGGGACTAGATTCCAGGACTTTACTCCTCCTGGTCCTGCCTACGGCTCCTGCCTGAACCGCCAGAGGCGTGGATGTCTTAGAACGGGTGGACCGTCCGGAAGAGTTCACGCCACCATCTTCGTCTTCTGGCTCAGAGGACGCTTTGCTCCGTCTGGATCTCCGTTTAATTGCACCGTCGGCGGATGGAGGGGTGACCTGAGAGTCCTCCTGGCTGAAGATGTCCATCTCTGCTTCGGGGGCGTTAACGGCGTCTTGCGTCATTTCGCTCTCCATCGCTGTTGTGGTTTCATCTTTGGACTCTTCTTTAGAATCCATCCTTTCTTGTGGTTTATCTTCAGTTTGTGGAGAAGACGTCGGAGCTTCCTGCTCTTTCTTCAGTCTCTCTTCTTGTATGGTCGTTTCTTCCGGCTCTACTGTCTTGGACTCTTCCTTCTGAGGTAAATTTTCCACCGTTTGGGATCCGGTCTCTGGATGAGCCTCGTCTTTCTCCTTCAGATCTGCCGTACCTTCAGCAGCAGCAGCTTGGCTGGACTCTTCTTTGGTCCTTCCAGCCTCAGACTCCTTGCTGAAGATGTCGTGCTTTCTGGGCTTTGTGCTTCCATGACTGGAGCCGGTTTCTGGTTTGATGAGGGTCAGGCTGGAATCCTGCTGACCGACGCTTCTCCGCTTACGCTCAGGAGACCCTAGGAGGTCCTGCGAATGGCTGTAAAGTCTGACCTTCTTCCGATGTTTCCCCTGCGAGTCCCTGTGGGTGGATTCGCCGGCGCTGCCCTGAGACTTGGACCGCAGCCGGTCTCTGGTGCTGTTCTCCTCTACCACCTGTTTGCTCCTGGTGTTGGGTCTGCCTGGCATTGGTTTGGAAGAGTCACTTTTGGGACTTTCTCCTGAACGTTTCCTTTTGACGTGCGTGTACTTCGCCTCGCGTTCCTCGGGGTCTTCTCCGGGGAGCAGAGGTCTGACTCTGTGGCGTCTGGATCGTCTCGGCTCGCCTGGAGACGTTTGGGAATCATCCATCATTGATTGGGACTCCTCATCCTGACTGAAGGAATCCATCTCCTCCGAGGAGCCAGCGCTTCCCTGGACCTCCGTTTTGGTCTGCGTGTCCGGGATGACATCCTCGTCAGAGTCACTCTGAAGTCTCTCAATCAGTCTTACAGGCTCACTTTTAATCCGGGACTCTATGGGCCTCCGAGGAGAATCGCTTTCCGACCGGGGACCAGAATCTAATAAAGCAGAGTCTGGATCAGCAGATTTCTGTGAGGCTTCAGGAGATTGCCTCTTATTAGCACTAGCTTGATCTTGGCTGTTAGACTTCTTAACAGGAGGACCAGTAAAGGAGGAGACTCCACCGGGACTGGCAGGCTTTCCCTCACTGTACTTCTCCAAAGTGATGAAAGACTGACGCCGACTGCTGCTGGGCTTCTGAGGAGTCCCTGAGACCACATCAGAGGAATTGGAGGTGTTTGGACTTGGGGTTTCTTTTGTCTCCACGTCTTTGTCCTCGCTGCATTTATCAGAACCCGGCAGAGGAAGATCTGCAGAGTCTGGGACACTCTTCTCCGCCGGCGGGCTTCCTCTCTTCGTCTCAGTACCTTCAGGGCCGACGACGACTTGAGTTTCTTTCAAATGAATCTCGGCAGAGTCGGTTGGTTTCTTTTGCGCCTGAAAAACATGAGGGGAAACAGGCGGTCAGGGGAGACTGAAATACAAACCGAACGTTTTTGATAAGTCACAGAATGGATCATCTCTTGCCAGGAGAGGCCTACTGGTTCAACAGAAAGCAGTGGATGCATTTTTCTCTGCCAAAGATCAAATAGGAGCCGAGCTTCTGGCTCCTCGGCTGGTCGTTCAGAATGTCCTGAGGCGGATAACCGATCTGCTTCAAAGTGACTGAAACCACGAGGGTCCTGGTTTCAACTAGGGGTGTAAATAATAGTTTTGTATCGATGCATCGATCCAACAGCCGACGATCCGATGCATCGATTCGTCCGCAAGAGAATCGATTCATGTTTTTTTTTCCTCCGGTCTATTTTTATCCATTTGCTCCTGGGCGTAATTCTCCCTCCCGTGCTGCGGTGGCGCTAAACCTATTTTGCCCTCCTACCTCGCTTCCTGGTTATACTCTTACAGCAGTGTGTTGCAGTAAGCTTGAAACAGACATTTTTGATTTATGCTCAATATTGAAGCGTGGTCTGCGCTACACGCTTTGGGTCTAGATACGGCCGAGGCGGCGAGGAAGTGGGGGCGAGTTTAGTCCGACGACGGAGGGACATGAGGGCCAAAAAGAGCGCAGATCCAGGTGGAAAAAGGGTCCCAGCGTTCTCGCGCACCTCGCTCTTCTAGCGGGTCAAACTTCACAAGTTGTTTTCTGCAATTTCGGTCATAAAAACAAAACAAGCCGGCCTCCTGTCTGCGGCACTGTCTGCCGTCAGCTACAATCTGGGAGAGGAGCAGCGGAGCGTCTGTGGAGGGGACGGGACGTCTGGAGCCGAGGTATCGCATTGCACTCATTTTGTGCAGTATTTTCTGATGCAAAGCCTTGCAGAATCTATAACGCAGAGGTGTTACTATTTTTCAGTGAATGAGGTTTTAATAGGTAAAGGTGGAGTACAACTTTTCTACTTCTGTTATTTGCTGCCGTTTCAAAAAAAAAAAAAAAAAAAAAAAAAAAAAAAAAAAAAAAAAAGCATAACGATATTACAGCTTTCATTGATTTATTTCAAAGTTGAAACATTGTCTAGCCTGTAAGGTGTCCAAAAAACAAAACAAAATAACAATCGAATCGTATCGTGGTTTATTCTTGAGTATCGAAAATAATCAAATCGTTGGGTCAGGAAATCGATACTGAATCGAATCGCCATGATGGATGTGATTTACGCCCCTAGTTTCAACCGTCCATCAGCAGCGCTCCTTTCTGGACGGTTTACCATCCAGCTGGACCAGAGACCGCTCAGGTCGACAGGGGAAAAACCGAAACTCTTTAATCTCGGTTCCGAAATGTGCGTGATAAACGTTGAAGGTCTCCGTTGCCCAACAGCCCAGATTCTGTCACCGCTCCGCCCCGTTCAGCTCACGTACGTCATTAGGAGTGCGTGAGCCGTCAGGTTAATCAATGAGAACTGTTCCAGCTGAAGCTGCGATCCCTGCGACCCCGGATAAGAGGAAGAAGATGAATGGATGGACGAAGATCCATAACAAAAAGAACATGTTTGTGCAGAAACACGTGATGGATGCTGATGGTGAGTTTTCATTATGTCATATTTAACTAAGCGTTCATTACTGCATGTTTTTCTCCTATGAAAGAACAATAAATGATGTCACGCACGCTCGCCTTGAGCTCCAAGGAAGTCAGAGCGGATGAAGACGGGAGGAACCACGGAGGCTGTAGGCTTTGCTTTGGGCGGGCGGTCTGGTGGGGTGTGGATACGGCGGATGTGGAATTTCGGGGTAAAAAGAGAACACCAAACTTTGGGCGTATTCACACCACACCCATTGGGTCTGCTTCACATAGACCAGGGTTAAAGAAAAAAAAAACAAAAGAAGGCAATGAGCAGACGTTTAAGCTGTTACCTCACTGGGAGCCTCCGTAACAACGCCGTCAGCTTGTCCAGCTGGAACTTTATCCCTAAAGGAGAACAATATTTGGTTACGAACTTTAAACCATAAGGAGGAGAAATGTGCTGATGGGCAAACTTACGAAGAGTCGTCTTGGCTCTGCGTGTACTGACTGAAAACGCTGGTGTCCAGGGAGGCGTCCAGGTTGTTGTACATGGCAGGAATGTCCACCCTGTGCGACAAGAAGGAGGAAGTCAACAACATGGAGGACGATCAGGATGGAGAGGGCAAAAAAACAAAACAAACTAAGCACCTTTTGGTTCTTTTCACCTCCTTCTGGTGCTCGGTTAGAACCCTTTCCTTCGTCTCAGGAGGGATGAAGACGAAGTCGATGGAAGCTTCTTCTTCCAGAACCTCCCTACGTGGAGGTTTGGGAGAACCAAAGTCCAGCTTCATCTGCAGGAAGGAAGACGAATGAAGGGGATTCAAACCGTTTCTATTGAGCAGTTCTCTCAGAACCAGCGCTTCCTGCTAGAACAACCCAACAAATAAGCTGAGAGTTCCTCATTCTGTTTTTACTCAGAAAAAGCTCCTTCCTTCTGAGGGGTGGAAACTGAGCGGCTCTGCATGAAGGCCAGGATGTCTCAGCAAGACGATGATAAACACTTTATTATGAAAGCTGTGGTGAACATGTTTAATTAATCATGTTTTATTTTCAGTTTCTTTAAAGGTTAGAAAAAGCCGGACTTTCACAGCTTAGAGCAAACGGACTTTCAGTGCCGCTCTACCTTTAGTGCAGGAGGGGATTTACCATTAGGCAAGTTCCTGGGGGCCCATAAAACTCTCTTTACATGTATGGTTAATAAAACTTTTCCTTATTTATGTATATTAATTATGTTTTTGATAAAAATCCTTTGGCTAAAATTCCATCAGAACGCTGATAATATTCAGTGTGTCTCATCTAAAAGCAGCGAACTCTGCTCTCCAGAGCGAGTAGATTGGTAACCCCGCCTCCTGCTCTCCTCTATCTTGAGCAGAAGCTGACCCTCTAGGACACGCCCCCTCCTTCATTTGCATAATGAGGCAGAAATAAATAGTCTTGCAGAAATGGGTTAAAAAAAATACAAAGAGAATAATACAGACAAAAAAATAACATGCACATAAATAAATACTTAAAAAAATAATAAAGTTAAAGATTATAATGGACAAGAAATAAATGAGGTAATTATAACAAAGGTGAATAAATAAAGAAACTAATTAAAAGAGTTATATACATTTATGTCTCACTGTATAATCTATTTTTTATTGTATTTTTAGGGGCAATTAATTGTATGCTTATTCATTTATTGAGCATTTATTTATTTCTGTATTTATTTTTAAATATGGCAGAGTTGGTCCTCCATAGGTCTGTTTGATGTGATGTCTTCTCCATTCAGAGGGCCCCCTGCCTGTCTTTGCCCAGGGCCCCAAATTTCCTAAATCCGCCCCTGCCTCAGCGTGATGTACTTTCCAACATAAACTCAAATTTCTGATTTAAATCCCCATAGATTTTCTTTTCTAGATAAGAGATGCAACAATTAAATGAATCAACGTTGATTTATTTAATCCATCAAGAAACTAACTTGATAATCCGCCGTCTTCTTAAAAAGCCGTTTTCTGTTGCATCAAGAGGAATAAATGTTACAATAGGTTGAGAAAAAAAAAGTAGGGATGCACGATATAATCGGCCCCCTATCGGTATCGGCCTTAAAACTGAATATCGGACATCGGCCACCCCACCGATATTT